TTAATACAAATTGCATTTATCTTGTAATAGTAAACCAAATTGTTGCGTAATTAATGTAAGTTATACGAAATCGACGAAACATATAATAAAAATTATTCATTGATTTAATAAGTTTGATAAATATTTAAATTAAAAATTTTTTTTTTATTTTGTATATCAATAAGTCATTAATAATTTTAAGTAATTTCTTATTAAAAATTTGATTTAGAATAATGGTTTAAAATAATCGTCATTTTTTTCTTCGTATTTAATACAAATTTATTTAATGAATCATAAAGATTGGGGTTTTGACTGAGGCAATTAAATATTAACTTTTACTTGCTTTTCGACATTTACATTTTTAACACTATAAAATTACAAGTTATATTTTAGTGAACAATTTATTATATGCAAAGGCTTTATATCGTTGCCTCTCGGGTCAGATAGATGCCAGTGATTACATGGTTCGTATCGATGGAAAGTCAAAATTATTTTTATCATGAGAGGAGAATTATTCCTCGTCGCTTTTCGCGAAGTCTAGTTTGGTGTCTCTTCGGAGATTCTTACGCAGGATTGAAATTAATCCCGGATTTTCTCGTCTGCAGTTACTGGTAATAATCATTTTGTTAATGAGTCAATGATAATTGCTATATATTTTAAAGTCAAGTTATAACATTAATTCAGTGATATATTTTAACATATAATTTTCGCTTTCTTTGTTTTATTAAATGTTCTCCCACTAATAATAATAATGTTAGTAAAAGTACTGTATCTTAATAACAAAAGAAATTTATATTATATGTTTGATATGGATATATAATTATTATTTGTTTAAATTCAAATTATTAAGTAAACAAATTTAAATTTTATACAAATAATTTGTTTATAATTTTTCGATGATTGCTCTAACAAAAATATGGTAACAAATATTTAATTTTCTAACTGTTATTTTAAAATCATTAGATATTGAACATTTGCAGAATATTTTTAATTATTAATTTATATGTATACTTTTCTATAATAAAATACATGCAAATATTATGACATTATATTTAATGAATATTGATTTTTGTCGATATTTACATAACTTTTTTCAAAATTCTTTATAGTTAACAATGTTATCGTGATTACATGAGTTGAATTTTAAATGTGTGGATACAAAAAATTCAAGGTAAGTCGAATGGATTTCCTCATATTAGCGAGATATTAATAAATGTAATTTTTGAAAAATAAAGAATTATTAAATATTATATAATAAATTTTTTAGTATAAATGTTCTTTAAAATCCCGTTATTGGCTCATCTCGAACAATTGACCCGAAAAACTTTGTACCCATACATATAAAAAATTACAATAACGTATGTATTTTATTATTATTATTAAATATATTCCTTCGTAACCACTATTGTATAAGGAAATCATTCTATCCGTTTATTTTTAATAAGAGATGATTTTTAGTCACGTGTGGCAGAACATATTTTCTCGCGAATTTTAATATTAAAGATGTAAATGATAAAAATGGTAATTGTAATTGACATGCTATCAAAATTATTACTATCGCTATTGAAAGATTCGGGATTCACACCGCAGTCCTATAACAAGATCACTGATATTTTTTGCAAATGAATCTTGTAAAATTTATATAGAATACATTAAGTTTGCTTTTCATTATGAAAATTGTTCTTTTTTGTACTAATCAGCATATCACGAGGAAGGATTTTGATATGATGAAATTGAGATAATCTTGAAATGTTACGATAAAAGTGCTGTTATAAATATATTAATAACTTTTTATTACGATATTATTAAATTTTATATTCGCAAATTAATAGTAAATAATAAATAATAAATACGAACTAATTGTTGTTAGTATTTCTTTTGTATTTATCAATATTTCATTAAATATTGGTTTAGAAAAATTTTTTTTATCATATTTTCGACGTTTCCGTATAATCCTGCATTACAAAAATTTGTTAATTATGTTCCTATTATGCTCCTATGCTATTATTATTTTTATTATTTTGAACAGCATTAATAATTGTATATTGTATTATAAATAATTATTATTAATATCGAATTATATAAAGGATAATACAGTAAAGAATAATATATTTGAAAAGTTATTGGAATTTTATTAGCGAAATATAATAAAATAATTAAACATAAAAATAAAAAAATAAATTAAAGATATACTTATCTGCAAAAACGGGCTACTAAATTTATTAGTAGTTTGTTTGTTTTATAAGTGAGTATACTTACAAAAAAAAAGAGGACTACCGATAAAATTAACGGGGGTGATGGAGGGTCTCTATAGCTCGTTTTTGCTAAATTATACTTTAAATTGACAATATATGTTTAGAAGAGATTGAATTTATTAAAAGTCTCTATAATTGCTAGTAATTATAGAGACTTATACTAATAATTATATTTGATAAATACTGGCTGAAAATTTGCATAAAAATACATAACTTAGTAATTTTATAAGATATTATAAGATAAATGATATATATAAAATAAAGTTCGCTAAATATTAATTTGTTTGAAGTTTCAGTTTCATTAAAATTTAACAACTTTTATTTACATATGTAGCAGATGCGAAATTAAAATTTTTTCATTCAAAAACTCATTATAAGTATTCCTCCTGTGGATAGTCGACACACTTCTGTCCTGAGGATGTATTACAGAGATGAATCATATCTACTTTCGATGATACGATTTTACCGATAGTATCAGAAAATGTATGTAATCACGTGATTCCCAAATGAAAGATGTCCTGGTAGTGTACGAGCGATTCGACGGTACAGGAAAAAGGCCGACTTAGTCTCTCTCAAGTTTCTCTCTGGTATCTCCTAGCTATATTTTTGATTAGGTATTTTTCTTTTCGGAACTCGAAATATATTGTAATGAAAATACATAAATTTACAAAATTACAGAAAATTGGAGGTAAGAGCGTTATATTAAATATTTATCAAATGTATATTTATATTGTGTAAACAGAGGGGACACATTTAATCGTTTGATTCCGTTTCACTTAAAATGCGCATGATCATTCTGTCCTTATTGTTCATCGGATATTAAAGAAAGATAAAATGATATAATTATGCGCGTGTCTATCGTGGATTTTTATGCTTTATGTAACTACATATATCAAATACATATATCAAATAAACTTTGGCATATATATTTTTATCAATAATATTGATAACAAAATTTCTCTCTGTACCCTCCTGTGATTTGCAGACACTTGTAGATCGCCGCGCAGGACGACAGATGGCAGAAATGTTTCGGGTAACGCTGCACGTGTTACGTTGTCACGGTTTAACGAAACTCATTATTCCATCGCGGTTCGTAGCAAGTGGCAGACCGGTGTTTAGGAAGCTCGCTGTTTTCACGAAACTTTGCCGAGACATGTCGTATACGACCGTCGAGAGAGGTGCACTCAACGGCACGGACTACAGAATATTTTTCAGTGAGTAGATTCGACATGACGTCAGATAAACGATGAAGCAACATTTGCGGAAGTTTGCGCTAAGTATCGTGAACTTCGTTGCGGGGTCACGGATACGCGTTCTCGCGTGCATGCTATTAATATTTTTATTGTTATTATTAATGATTTGAGTTTTCTTGAACGACGCAACGTCGACACGAAGTTTCGCTTACATCTTGATGATGAATCATTTAGGAGACTAATCATTTCGATCGATCGTGCCGTAACTGCCGGGTTTTAAGTTCATTACCGCATATTTCACTACGGCGTATTTCATTACGACATATTTCATTACGATATATTTCGCACTGAAATAATGATTTGTTTTAAATAGCAAACATTTGTGAGCTATTTTTGTCATGATATTTCATGCATTTGATCTAATTCTATGACCTGTGATATTTAGCCCCAGTGAAAGTACATATTTATAGGCTTTATGAGGAAGTAGTTACAATCATGTTCTAGACATATACTTATACAGTCATATTTTCTCCAAGTTTTATGTTGTCTTTTTTGTACCAGAGATTTTTCTGATATATTCTTGCATAACATATTCTGAGTTACTGTATGAAATAACAGAAATATTCTGAATTAACAATATCTAACAATATTTCTTTTAAAGTATTTTTAAAACTTCTTTTATTCGTATATGTAGAAAATGATCAGGGTGTCCCAATCTCGCCCATGCATGATGTTCCTCTCTTTGCCAACGAAGACAACAAGACATTACATATGATTGTTGAAATACCAAGATGGACAAATGCTAAAATGGAAATTTGTCTTAAAGAGAGTTTAAATCCCATTAAACAGGATGTTAAGAAGGATAAATTGAGATTTGTCGCTAATTGTTTCCCTCATCATGGCTACATATGGAATTATGGAGCTTTGCCCCAGGTAAGAATTCTAGAAACTCTGTTATTTAATTGGTTCTTTTTATTCTATTTTAATATCTGTTTTTTAATTTTGTTTCTATCTCAGTAGAATGATGTTTATTTATTACAAAAAATTCTTATATTTTATACATGGAATTACAGAAATAGGAATTCAAGTTTTAAAAAACAATTTCTCTGTTATTTTGCACTGAGTCATTTTGCAGAATACATGTATAGAGTAATTCATTTTAATTCCAATACGCAAATATTTCGAAAATATAGAATTTTTCCAAAAATATTCTAAATAAAAGTTGTATAGAAATGAATGTCACCATTAAATCCTACTTTACACCACACAATTTTTATTTGGAAGGTTTTTTTTTTTTTAGTAAAATGTATTTTTTTAAAATATTTTTAAAATTAAAAGAAAGCATCTAGTATATATTGTATAAAACACATTATATTTAAAATATAAAAGTAAACTTTAGAAAATTTGAAAAATAAAAAGAATTTTTTGTAGTCAAATGAAAGTTTATAGCTTATAAGTTTAATTTTTAAAAATATTGCATTCACAACACTTTTGTTTATATTAAGAAACGCAATAATGTGTTTTGTAATAATATGTCTCGTATTTTCTTTGAAGTACATTCTTTTATGTCTATCACTTGTCCAAATAAACTATTATATGTTCTAAGATAACACACATGATGATCTTATTGATTTATTATCTAAACATAATAAAAGGAAATTAACAATTAGACACTAAGTGCATATATATATATTTTTTTTTTCTTATCTCATGTTCATATATTTTGTGCATATGTATATGTGAACTTGTAATCAAGGTATACACTTAAGACTTGACAATCGTTTCCTTCTTATCATTTTTGAAATACCTTATTTCCTGATTTCTATTTACTATAAGAAATACTATCTTTTATCTTTTGTTAAAAGCTATTTGATATAATAATTTATAATATAATTTTTTTATCTCTTTTTCTATTGTAATATAAATAATTTTATTAAATAATATAATTAACAGACTTGGGAAAATCCTGACGTTTTGGATGAAGCAACAGGCTGCAAAGGTGACAATGATCCTATTGATGTTCTTGAAATAGGCTATAGGGTGAGAAATAATTGCAATATTTTTAATAATTTTTTTGTTCATTATTTATTGTGTTTCATGTAATTTAATAATTATAATTGATTATAATAATTGATGGAAATATATTTGCATCTATAGATTGCAAAACGAGGCGAGATATTAAAAGTAAAAGTTCTTGGAACAGTGGCACTTATTGATGAAGGTTAACTAATTAACTTATCTATTAATTAAAATTATTAGATTAATGCTTATACTGAAAAATATATAGAATATTAGAATAATTTATGTATAAATAAAATACAATACTACATAGTATATATGTTTCATTATGAACAATTTTTATTTTAGGCGAAACTGATTGGAAGATTATTGTAATTGATGTTAATGATCCTTTGGCTGATCAAATGAATGGTAATTACAATTTATATTTATTAAGAATACTTAATATATATGTATATATATATATGTATTCTTTGAACTAGATTCTTAAATATGCCAAAAAATTTAAATAGATTTTATAAATAGATTTTTCATATATTACTAATTTGATAAATATGATTGCAGATATAAGTGACATTGAGAAGCATTATCCAGGTTTAATGAAAGCTACAATTGAATGGTTTAAGATATATAAAATTCCGGATGGAAAACCAGAAAATCAATTTGCATTTAATGGTGAAGCAAAACCACGAGAATTTGCCCTACATATCATTGATGAAGTACATCAACATTGGCAAACTTTAATCAAACAGGAAGGTTCATCTAATGAAATAGAATGGTTCGTAAAAATTAGTCTTAGAATTAATCTTAAATTATGTCTTAGATAAAATAATTTAGATGTTATTCTATGTATTATTTTTGTAGTTCTAATGTAACAGTGGAGGGAAGTCCTTTCAAGATTACCACAGAAGTTGCACAAAAAATTTTAGACAAAGCACCTGAATCAGTGGAACCTCAATGTGTAGAACCGATAGGTAGGTAACTCAAGTGTAACATAGAATAGAAAAAAATATAAATTTTCTGAAAAATTAATGAGAATTATAATTCTTATTAGCTTTTTTTACTTTATTATTATGTACATATTTATTGATATTTATAATATTCTTCACTTTCAGTTGACAAATGTTACTTCATACAACCCAAATTGTAACAATTATGATGGGAATTAAAAATTGTTCTGTTTTTGAATATTTGAATTATATGAAAATATTATTGATGTTAAATATATGTAAATTAAAACATTGAATTGTTTTTATAATGTGTGATTTCAGTCGATAAATGGCATTATGTACATCTTAAATGAAGATGAGATGGATATCTTCGTTCTATCAACTAGCGAAGTCGGCTACTCCGTTTATTCATATTCAACATGGAATTCCTTCTCATTTGTCATTTTGCTATTTTTGCATCAATATGTCATTTTTTTCATTTCATTTAAATAATTATAAATAGCATTTAAATATTTGGATATATATGCGGTGCTACTATTTTGTTAGTTTTTAACTCCTAATATATATACATGAAATATGTAAAATGTTTATACAAGCACTTTTTTTCGGATGTGTTCCGCATATATATCGTTATGATATTACATCCATAGCGGTTCGACTATGAAAGAAATATAATCTCATTATGGGTTGTGATTGATGTAGCTGTACAATTTTGAGAGGGTTTCTTAGATTAAAAGGCACGTTAGTTCTCTTCAATATTTTTCCAAATACAGAGATAAACAATAAACAAACTGATCCGAATATAGATGTATTATTTTCAAAAGTTATCCCTTTGGTATATATATATATATCACTTAGAAAATATATATCACTTAGAAAATGTTTAGACATTCCAATTCTATGTATATGCCTATTTTAAATCTGTTTTTTACATTTTTTTTTTAAATTTGGTGGACAATCAAAGATGCTCTTTCCCGATATTTTCTAAAAGATATAAAAAAGCGATGAGTATTGAATAAATAGATTGATTACAAATTAATTCATTTTTGTACTTTATCGCGGTTGTTCTTGGATGTGATTCACTGTGATCTCCAAAGAAATACTTGTACTTTTCTGAAAATGTATTTAGCAACATAAAACTAAGAACTATATACATTCTTTCGCGTGACACGCATCCACATTGGCTTACAAAGTGGAATGGGCTTTTGGAGCAATAAATTCTTCAGTTGGATCTCGAGAGTATAAAAGCAAATTACCGTTTCTACTGAAAGGATCGAATAAACGGCATTTTCTGGATTTTTTTGGGAAGTAGAAGAAGAAATATAATCTATGATCGTTTTGTTTGATCGCAAACAGCATGTTGAGAAATTAAGTGTACTTTTTTTTGCATGTGTAATAAATCTAAACTAAAATATTCAAATATTATTATAGGTATCTTTTTTTTTGTTCGATGTTTTTAAAAATATTTAATATAAAAATGATACTTGAACAATTTTGAGTTTTAAAGCAGTTGCCGTTAACAAGGACGATTGAATTACTTATTAAATTCTACATCTAAAGTTAGCATTGTTAATAAATTTATAGTACAATAATTAAAATATCTATTGACATACATTCTGAAGTTGTAAGTTACATTTTAATGTTCCACGTTATAAATGTCAGTAAACAAAAATCTCGTTACTCCAGAAAGTTAAGTTTTTCCTTTTTATTGTATAGGTATATATCTATCCTCTAAGGGACGCAATACTACGATTTATAGTAAAGTAACAAGAGAAAGCAATGATAGTAATGGCAATCGTAACGAAGAGAATGAAGAATAAAAAAAAAGATTGGTCGATCAGGCAGGTTGAACGGCAGAGATCGTCTAGGGAGAGCGGGACTGGATTTTTCCCTGATGTCCCTCTCCGATAAATTCCTCTCAATCCTTTTCTTCCTTTTTCTCCATCAGGGCCACGGGCTACATCAGGTAGGTAGGTAGGTAGGTGAACTAGCAGCTGGAGAAGGTATTGACTGGCGACGAACGCAGCGCGGCGTGTCCGCGTCGAAGGTAGCCGAACAGGTGCACGAGCTGCACGGTGAGCGACGATAAAAGCCGAGCGAAAGCGAGTAACGCGCGCTATCGGCCCCCCTCCCCGCGCGCCATTCGTAGAAGATCCGACCAATGAGCAAGCGCGACGCGCGCGCGCCTCTGGCGGCACATGAACCAACGGCAGTGACGGTGTCGCCTCTCCTCGCGCGGTCATACACAACTCGTTCGGCTATCGAGCTGCGCGTTTCCGTTCCGTGTCAAGCGTCGCGTAACATACATATACACATAATACATACACGTCAAGTCGGAGTTTCGCGTGCGCCGGACGTCGGATCATCAGTTACATCGTCCGCATTAACTGCCCCGATATTTCTTTCCTCCGTTTGACGGTGTAACTCGCGCGTGCCGATTTCTTCTCTTTCTCTCACCTTCGTTCTGTCGCGCCGCGCGCGCGAGCGTCTTCCGCGGTGAAGTAAGTGACGGTTCTGGGGAGAGGACTCGGAGGGACGGTTTCAGCCATGCGATTCTCGTGGATGCTCGCGGCCACGGTGCTGCTAGTTCTTGCCACGGGGGTGAGATGCAAGAGGAGATTCGACGGTGATTTCGAATTCGCCGAAGAGGTGAGTTTCTAGACAACGTTTCCTCTCGCGTATTATATTTGTCGCGCAAGGATTACGAGCGATGACAGGTTGACAGATCGCTCGTTTATTTATTTATTTTTTCTTTCATTTCTTCCGCCTTGTGGAGATACGCGAGAGATACGCGATGACAGCTTATACCCTGAAACAATCGCCCAATCCGAGAAAATCCGTGACTCTCCTTTACGTATCCTGCAGAGATAAGACACATTCGTTATCAAATAGAATATTGATACAGGAGAGCAAAGTGTCATATAATCGTACAATAACAATAGCGACGGCTCCGCCGAAGGGTGGCGCTTCACTGTTGCGAATTGTTGCGAAATAACCACTTTTTGATCGTTTCGCCGCTCGCTTCGAAATCCAAGGTTCTTCGTGTTAGGAATGCCGCGGTCCATCGATTCAAAGTTACGCGCAGTTACATACTATAACAAAACTTGACATATTACAATTTTTCACGGTAAAAACGTGTCGCTTTGATAACGAAGGGAAAAAATAATAGCGATGCTCCTGCATTCGCATTCAGAATGCTTCTACAGACTTTTATGTATTTAATCTATAAATGGAATATCATTAATATCAAGTACACGTATTATTCAAATAATATTTGCATTTTATTTATTCTGCCGTATTTCTGCCCAGCAATCCTCATAACGATCGATTTATTATAAAATCCTTTATTTTCATATATTCAATTTTTTTGATACAATTTTTGTTATTTGTCAATTGTTTAAAAAGTATCAAATTACGCGCGTTATTTTTATTTATATGCGAGTTATGAATCATTTATTCGTATATAATATTTGAATAGTGCCTTTTTTACTTGCAAAACGATATTAGCAAACAATAAGTTAACATTTTAAGTAGACACTTTAAGATATTTACGTTACAATATGGTGATTGCTTTTGACTTTTAAAAGCGATGAAAGATGGTTAGAAAAGTCCGAGGAACATCTAGATATTGGATGTTCTTTAGAATATCTTCTAGATGTTTATCTTATCTTATTGTTAGGATTTGAGGTAATGTATAAAACAATGTTAGCAAATAACGAGTTAACACATGTTTTAAGATGCTTGCATTATAATACGATTGATTGCTTTCGGCTTCTATAGATGATGATTGACAGACATTTCAGAAAAAATCTGAACATGTAGATATTTTGGATGGCCTTGAAATTCTCTAGAATATCTTTTAGATTATTGTCTTATCTTATTGTTAGGATTTAGAGGAATTTGTAAAACAGTGCTAGCAAATGATGAGTTAACCGAGGAGTTAACATATCATGTTTTAAGATATTTGCGTTACAATATACGGTTGTTGACTTTTGAAGACAATGATTAATAAACATTCAGAAAAGAAGAATGCCCAAATATATTGAATGTTCTTTAGTAGATTCTTTAGATGTTTCAGGTGTCCTATTTTTGAATACTTGTCTTATCTTTTTATACATACTTTGGGATAACATGTAAAACAATGCTAGCAAATGATGAGTTAATACTTGTTTTAAGATGCTTGCGTTATAATATGGTGATTGCTTTCGGTGATAATGATGATTAAAAGATAGAAAAGTCCGCAGAACTTCCAGATTGAATACTTTTTATAGTTATTGTAATCTAAATGTAAAAGTGAGATATCTCAGTTGATAAAATGCCCAATATGTATTTTATCAATTAGCACAATAAAATGTATTGAACATTTCGCAGTTTAATTCGTTTCTATATTTTTATTAAACATACATTTTTATGTTAATTTGTGTACAACGGTTTTAAAGTGCACTAAGTGCGTACTAATTTTGCCAGTGAAAAACGCTATTAGATTCTTTACAATATTTTTTAGATATTTGCCTTATCTTAGATATGTGTCTTATTGTGACATGAATTTGAGATAGTATTTTAACAGAGTTGCAAGTTCAATTTTCTCCGCAAGCGTACATCATATTTATCTGATAAATGATTTTTTTCGATGTACACTGAAAAAAATGTCTGGTTGGATTAATTGGAATTCTGGTTGAAATTGAAATTAGAATGTACTGATTAAATCTATTAGAATTCTAATTGAAATAACTGGAATTCTGATTGATATATGTAATCATAATCTTCTGGTTCATCCATTTTTAACTAGGCATATTTTTCAGTGTACCTTTCGCGAGACATGGACTCTTTTCACTCGCAATGGTCTCCTCTGTCGCCTGCGAAATTTGGTTACTGAATTACGAGTGAATGTACGCGCGATTGGTTGAGATTCACGCTTCTGTGAATCGCGTTGGAACGCCGCAATATACAATTACGGCGTGCAGTCGTTACGCGGAGAAACGCGGAGTGTCCGCGGCTCTTACTTTCGCGTAACTGGATCCCGACTAAAAAATACGAGTTATTCGATGTAATTGTTTATTTTGCGCGTGACTCGCACGCAGCACGTACAAACGCATGCGAAGAAGTATTTACTGTGTACTGAACAGTGTTTCACGATTCAAAATCATAATAAAATTTATAGAAATCCTTCTGTATAATCCGATAATTACATATGCAATTACGGGAAATCATTGTGTAATATTAAATAAAATCGTTTGTTTTATCAAATGACTCTACACAGAGAGTTTTTTTTCTTAAAATTTACCCTGAAAATATGATAGTCATGTGACAACATTATATTTCGAAGAAATATAGGGGAATTTTATGTAAATTTCTCTCATTCATTAATAAAATTACAATAAAGTATAAAATAAGTTTGATTAATTTTACTGAAGTGCATGGTAAATATTTTTTAAATATTGTATTGTACCACAACTATTATATTTTAAGGGTAAATTTTAAGAAAAAATTCTCTCCGGGTAGTGAAGAAAATTATTTGTAATCAGATGAAATAGTATGAAATCAAATAAAATCGTGTAATCTTTGGGACAATATTTCAGCTAGTGGTTACCTTCTCGCGTGCATGTAATCGAATCATGTTCAGGGCGTTGTCAGTCAGTATCAAAGACAACGACGTCGTCGTTCAACCCTTCGGTTCTGTTGCGAACAAACGTGGCGTCGTTAAAGAAAGAGGGAGAGAAAGAGAACATTCCTCTTGCCGTTTCCGCCCTTCCTATATTTTCTACAACGAAGTTGGCGTTTGCGCAAAATACACA